ATTATAAAACTAAATATTTGGATTTTCTGCCACATAAAAGTTTCTTCGTACTAAAGTTGCAGTGTTTTTTTAATAAAAATAATATATATGTACTGTTAAAAATAATTTGCACTAACTAATCCTGTTAATCATTTAAAACAGAAAAGAAGCTTAAAAGCTTTTAGCTTCTAGGAAGAATTGCATAGATAAGTGTGGCTAATGCTGACAATCTAGGCAGCTGGCAACCTTGCTATCCTTTAAACAAAGTAATGGTATAGGCTAGAGTTTGAGCTGGGACTCAACAGAGGACGAGGGGACAGGGTGTGAAGCAGGAGGAGTGATAGAGCATCTTGTCTTGGCCTCAACTCCACCCTATGAACAGGTTTGCCTCAGCAGCTGCCCTGGAGCTGCAGCAGCCCCAGCATTAAAGGCCCTCCCTGCCCTGCTTCACTTTTGCTCCTGTGCCATCGTAACACTGTGGCAGCATTGTAGTGCAGTGTATGGTTGCATATATTGGCCCTATCCCATTTCTGTGCTGGGAAGATTCTCTCTGGGGTCGCTTCAGACATTCTGCAGCTCCTGTACACTGCTGGAGAGGAGGGCAGGGGCTGCAGTGATCACTAGACTCTGGCTCTATGCTTGTTCTGAACTCTTTCTGCAACCGGTCCATAAAGTAATCCCCAAGACTGTTTCTGCCATCTTGGGAACAGTCAAGCCTGCGAGCATTGGTCAGCAGATCTCCCATCAGCTTGATCTTCCGGATTTTGGGCCCAATAAATTGTTTCTTGATAGTGCTTGCACTATGAGGGTCTGCATTTTCAACACTCAGGGCATAAAGCTCTTCAAAATACCGTAGCATAGTTTTCCACTGTACCATTGCTAATTCCAGGGCTTTCATCAGACCGACTGCATAATCACAGTTTGGTTTCTGAAAACAAAATCAGAGTTATATTTATTCAGAAGAACAGCTCATCTCACTGGATTCATCAATGGTTTCATGCAACTTAACCTGGCACTCTAAACAAGTTGTACTAGGATTTTGCAACAGCTCCTTCTAGTTTGGAACATCTATTGTTTTTTTGCAGAGTGCCATGGCTGTAAATACACACAAGTGGCATAACCCAAGCAGTTTTTCAAGGTATGTATTTAGATAGCAGCATCTATGCCTGAGGAGTGTTCCTACACCAGGAAACCCAGTCAGAGAATGGCTGGGGTTGGTAGGGGCCTTAAAAACCATCTCATTCCAATTCTCTGCCATAGGCAGGGACACCTTCCTCTAGACCAGGTTGCTCAAAGTCCCATCCAACCTGGCCTTGAACACTCCCAGGGATGGGGCAGCCACCATTACTTTGGGCAGCTTGTTCCAGTGTCTCACTGCCCTCACAGTAAAGAGGTTCTTGCTCGTATCTCATCTAAATCTGCCCTCTTTCAGTGTAAAACTGTTATCCCTTATCCTATCACTGCACTCCTGGATAAAGAGTCACTTCCCTTCTTTCCTGTAGGCCTCCTTTAAGCACTGGAAGGCCACCCTAAGGTCTTCTCTGATTCAAACCGAGTATTTAGGAAGATTTTCACAATGGCCTTTTTACTTTCTACAGCTTAACAACTGCTGCATTAGACCAAAAAAGAGCATTCTGTATTAACTATTTACAGAAAACTAATTTGGTAGAAGAGAATCAGACCCTTGGTCTTTAACAAATGAGATGTTTAGGTTTTTTTTCCCCAGAGAGCTTTGAGTTATTCCTTTATCTCTGTGCAAGATCAAGTTAGATCTCTAGTTCAAATTCTGTCATGAGCTGTGCTCTAGCAAATCAAGTGCTGTCTCAGGCTGGATGTTTCTCCTACCTCCTTCCTTAGCACCTTTCTTAGGTGCTAATTGTAGGACATAAATAGGCTATTTCAGCATGGTTTAAGGAGTCTCATAATCCATTACAGCACACTGGAAACAGCAGTGTATAGCTGAGTAAAAGAAAAGGGGAACAGTGTTCATGTTCTTTTGGGCTAGAAAGCAACCCTATAGACTTAGGGCTGTGTGTCTGACAGTTTCTAGGCATCACAACCAAGAACAAAACCATGTACACTAGTATGTCAGGTAAATTATATCTGGAAATCTAACAGAGTATGAATACAGAGATCTGAAGTGCCAACAATATGATTTAATAAGTTAAATGGATTGTAGCTGCTTGAAGGCTCGTTGCCTACTACCCACCTGGATGGTTTTAGAACAGTAATGACCTCCTCTTTCTTGCTGATACTTCATCAAACACTCTGCGGCTTTTCTCTCTTCCAGGGCTTGATGCAAGAAGAACTTCGAAATATTTGGTAGTGCCACATGTGACTGATCAAAATATTCACCCTAAGCACACAAAACACCAGTGTTAAGACTTGCTGGAGATGGGATTCTTGCAGCAGAATGTGGCTCTATCAGAACTTGGGAGTCTCTTCCAATGAAAGCTGTTCACAAAGCACAATCATTTTGAAGACCTTAATCCCAATTTCTACAATAAATGATGTAAGTAATTATGATCTGAAATGAAAAACCTCTATACTTCTACTAGAAGTCCTATCCTTTAATACTGGACAATATTAAAGGCAACAGTAGCACTGATGTTACTCTCTCAGTAGCCATCAGAGATCCTCAGAATATTTTATTTATGAGTGGTTAGCATGTGTGTTTTGTAACTGTGTTTTATGTAAGGGTTTTTGTTTGGTTGTTTTTTTTTTTAAAACATACTCCCATCACAGGGAACATGAAATTTATCCCTTCAAGTCAGCATTCCAGTCAAAAGTTAGCTTTCAAAGGTATGAGAAAGATGAGGCAAATACCAAAAGAGAACAAGCCCAACCTTGCCCCTATTTATCATGTTCATTATGGATAATGTTATTCCAAAATAATGAATACTACACTTTCAATATTATATGTAGCTCATGCCTAGGAAGGCATGTCAGGAAGGACATCGACCTGTTGGAGCAAGTTCAGAGGAGGCCATAAAGTTGATTAGAGGGATGGAGCACCTCTGCTGTGAGGAAAGTCTGAGAGTATTGGGACTGTTCAGCCTGGAAAAGAAATAGCTTTGGGATGACCTAATTGTGGCCTTACAGTACCTGAAGGGAGAATACAGTGAAAATGGAGGACTATTTACAAGGGCCCAGAGTGACAGAACAAGGAAGAATGACTTCACACTGAAAGAGAGCAGGTGTAGTTTAGATTTTAGGAAGAAACACTTTACTGTGAGGGTGGTGAGGCACTGGAACAGGTTGCCCAGGAAAACTGTGGATGCCCCATCCCTGGAAATGTCCAAGGCCAGGCTGGAGCTCTGAGTAACCTGGTCTAGTGGAACATGTCCCTGCCCACAGCAAGGGAGGTTAAAGCTAGATGTTCTTCAAGGTCCTTTCCAACCCAGGCCGTTCTATGATTGCAGAAGTGTTACAACCCTAAACCCACTGCAGGCCTTGTCCAGTTCTATATGGGAAAGTAACAACTTTAACCACTGCCATGTTTAACTACATTAACAGGTCTATCAGCTCTTACATTAGAAAGCCTTACCCATGGTATTGCTGTCCCATAAAGGGAATGTATTAGAGACAGGCAGGAAAGAGAGTCACCAGGTTACACTAGGTTGAACACTGGCTCTGCACAGCTCCAATGTTGAGGTGACAGCTGGGACTATGCCAAAAAACAAACCGAGAGCTAGAGCATCTTGATCTGTCGGTTCCCTAAACATGCAATATGCAACACAGCACAGCTTTTCTCTCTTGAACATACTCTGCATTGGAGTATGTATATGCTGTGTATCAAGCTGTTGACTTGTAGCCTGCCTAGGAGGAGTAAGGAAAAAACATGTGCATTTCATAAGTTCTGCTTTTTTATTGTCTTCCCTGCTTTCATCCATTACCCAGCTTAGCTATGAAATACTTTCATTTCAGCTACGTTTGTTTAAAAAAAAAAAAAAAGTTAAACACACAATGCAAGTTTATGTATTACTTTTGTAGGGATACCCTAAACCTGTGACACATGTATACATCTGTGACCATAAACCATTCAAGAGAAAGTACATGCTGGAATGTTTTATTAAAAACATTCACTGCAATATTTGCATAATCCTTTTCCTGAAGTCATTCATTCCTGTTTCTGTTGACAGGATAGTCAAGATTCAGTGTTTAATAACCAGTTCCACAGTGCAAGTGTGCAGCGTGACTTCCAAGTGGAGAACAAGTTAACACATCTGCTTAATTGTTAAGGTAAATCTTTTATGCCAGTCATGAACTATTTAGCATGTTCACATTTCCACGTTTGATTTATCCACAGTCAATATCTAATTGGGCTTTCTCCATCCCATCCAGCTGCCAGTCACTAGAATTTTTTTAATCCACAGACTTAACAGGTTGCACTGCATATTTATATTTTTATTGAACTAACACTTGATACCAAGCTCAACTAAAGGAGCTTGGGGATATATTGGATATACTTTGTGTTGCTTCTTAGAGGATGTTAGGCATCAGGAGGTATGGCATTGATAATTTTGCTTTAAAAGCTGTGTTAAAATATATGTTGCCTTAATATTTGATGTGCACCTAGATGCAATTTTGGTATGCATGTTACATGGTATCAGAAATACCTTTTTTAATTTCATGTCCAAAGCACATGCCTGTGGAAAAAAACACCCTAAGCCAGCAGCAATGTTCACAAACTACAGTTAACCACACGCAACTATTTCACATACAAAGTCCGGGGGAAAAAAAACAACATTCAAGGGTTATGCCCCAAAGCTGTTAGCATTCCCTGTTCCTGTCCCTCTTTACACAGGCAAAACTCCCTCTGGGAAC